GCCTCGTCCTTCTCCCGCTCCCACCACAAGGAGGATGTACAAGGAGGCGGGAGGAAGGAGGAACAGGGGAGATATGCGGGGGCAGGCGGAAACACGCCTGAAAAACACGACTGTCGGCATGCTTCGCAAGAGTTGCTGTTTTGAGATGGGCTGGTGGGGATACGCGAAGCGTGAAGAATTTTCACCACCTAACTTGAACAAACCATCTTGCACCGCATAGCTTGCACCACGTAGCTCGCCCGCGTAGGCCATAGCGTGAGGCACGTATTCACTGGGGGTGATATAGTTTTGACGATAAAACGTCAAGCTTTGGACTCCGCCGACCCTCCCGTAGAATGTTAGCGACAGATTTCTGGTCAAGGAACGGTCCGAATCCGATGGTCCTACCCCGTAGCAATATAATAATCACTCCGTCCCATGAAGAATAGGCCCGGAAACCACTCCAACTTGGACCCACTCACAGCTCAATCACTCCGCATGGATCACTTCAGATTGTCAGTGTCATTTTCGTCATCGTCGTTGTCATGCCGATGTCAACGCGATGCTCCATTGCATTCGTTCGTGCTTTGACGCGGCGTAGCCGAAGGAATCCTTATCCAACGCTGTCACTTTTGCTTCGCTGGCCGGCCATCCCAGAGAATTCACGAAGGCTCGCGACTCCGCGTCAGGCCTGATCAAGGCACTTTTGCATACTAATCGGTCGTCCCCGGCTCGCGGGACCAGCTATGCAATGCTCCGCTGGTGGTCCACAATTTTCGCACCTGGCAAGTATTGCGCCACAAAGCCTACGCCACAGCACCACATGGCTTATGCCACGTAGCTTGCACCGCGTAGCTTCCACCGCATAGCGTATTACTCACACGTCATATGTTTTGCACAAAGTAGTTTACAATGGCTCATTGTTCCTCATAACACGACATAGCTTTCATCGCATATTTGTTGTTTGGACGGTCGGGGGCAGATGGCGAGTGAAGGCAGAAAGGTTCAGCTCGGATGGTGAAACTTGTCAACTTCCCCCAACTTATGGGGAACAAATCTCCACCGTGCAAAACCTGGCCAGAACGTAGGAATAAGGCGACGACGAAAGAAATGAGGGAAGGACGAGAGATGAAACTCTTGCACCGCACAGCTTTTAGCTTGCACAACATGTATTGCGCCACATCGCGTGCACCACATATGTTGCACCACAAATCATATGCATCCACAGTGCAATGACTCACTGCTTGGGGTCCGCGCTGGCAAGCATGAGGTTGACTTGCGCGAGTAGCAGGTACTTTGGTATATGCAGTGCATCTCAGATGAACTTCAATGAAAACTAAACAAGAAGATCGCACGCGTCACGTGCATAGTGGCATATCGTAGGTCGGAAAGGTCGGCTAGATGGGGATGTCAGGCGCATGTGCCTAGCAGCAGGCAGTAGACAGCAAATTGCATGTAGCATGTGGGGCCTTGCTTGGATTCCACAATGTGCGGTTGGTAACTACTCGGATCCGTGATAGGCAGGGTGCAGGTGCGCAGTACGTGGTTGGTCCTCAATGCACACGTAGAAGCTGACATTCACATAGTCATATGCTGTTCGTGGTCGGCAGGTAGCCGTTAGACTTGAGTATGGTGTGATTGGGTCGAAGATAAAGGGTCTTTACGCGTCTCGAAAGTCGGCCGGCTCACGCAATCGGCGAGTCGCATGTCGAGATTTAGTCGTCCTGGGGCTCCAGATTGCCAGAGGGAGCCACCTGCGGCCCCTTCGACGAAGAAGCGAAGAAACCCAGGGGTGCCCCCAACCCCCACCCCCCCACCCCGCACACGCACACACACACACACGCCAGAGCCGCGAAACCCGTCTCCTCCTCCTCTGCTCCCTTCTCGTCCTCGCCCCCTTGTCGTCCTCGCCCTCGTCCTCGCTCTCTTTTGGTCGCCACGGGCACTTGCCTGAAGGCCCGGCCGGTGCATTCAAAACATCTGATACTTGCTCTGGCGCTGGCTCCTCGCCCTCGTCAGCCCGATCCTGATCCTCCTCCTCCTCCTCCTCCTCCTCCTCCTCCTCCTCCTCCTCCCTCGAGCTCCCCTGTGAGCCCGTTCGGCCGCCGCATGCGCAGCAGAAGGCGCTCGGTTCCCACAAGATGTTCGGAATCAGGCGCGTCCAGCACACGAGTAGGCTCGATCTCGAGTACGTGCGGCAACCGAACGGGCTCAGATGCAGCGTGGGCTCACAAGGCAAACCTTGGGCTCTTGACCCCTCCTCTCTCTCTCTTCCTCCTCTCTGCCCCAACCCCATTCCATCTTCCTCGTGCTCGATCGACCGCGCGCTCGTCGCCCTTGCCTTCGTTCGCCCTCCTCCTCCTCCTCCTCCTCCTCGAACCCCTCCTCCTTCATCCGAAAATGAAATTGTCTGGCGGCTGCCCGCGGTCAGCGACAGCGACGGACTGGCCGAGCGCTCGATACCAGATCGAGATCCCCGCGGGGGCCCGGGGCTCGCCCGCGGCGAGGAGGATGCTGCCATCGGCCTCCTGGGCGCGGCTGCACTCCAAAGTTCCCCAGTGAGCCCGTTCGGTGTCCGAGCCCGAACGGCCACCGAATGCGCAACCGAACGAGCTCAAATCCAACAAGGTGGCCAGAACCTGGCACACTTGGCATACGAGCAGGCTCGATTCCAAGAACGCTCGGCAACCAGATGGGTTCAGAGGCCGAATGGGCTCAGAGAGCAACCCTGGGGTGGGACGGACAGGGGGAGCAGCCCTGGCGTAATCATGACATTATCCCTCGCAATCGCAGCAGTCATAGCGCAGTTCTGGGACTGCGTCAGTATGGTATAGCTTCCACAAGTGGGGCAGCACTGGGGAGTGTTTGCCGCCACGAGTACATATGTCACATCTGCCTCAAGCGGAGGAGAACTCACGACTCAATGTACATCTCTATCAGGGCCTCTGAGCGACTCCGTCCGATCTACGGAGGTATCTGGAGGCCTCGAGGCTAGATCTGGAGGTCTCCAGGGGCATCTGGAATGTTAAGGAGCATGAAACATCGAAAACTCTCGACGACCTAGACCCTCCTCGAAGGCGTGAAGTCGGGCAGGCCCCCCTGCCCACGGGTTTCCTTCTCAACTCATCTGGTTCCTGAGCCCACCGTGCAAGTGGCCACCGAATGGACCTGGGATCGAGACTGCTCGTACGTACCGAGCGAGCCAAATGCCCACCATCTTGCCTGACATGCACTCACTCGGCTGTGCATTCCAGGCTGACATGTTGTCACCCGACTGTCCGGAACGCTCCCAGGACCTCAAGAGAGTTTCCATAAAGCCTCCACAAGGGCCCTCCAAACAGCTCCTGAAAGCTTCAAGAGCACCCCCGAACATCTGCGAGAGCCTCATTTCCCTCCCACTCCTCCCCTCGGCTATTCGCCAGAGTGACCCTTGGCAAAGGCAAGATGGACGTTTGGTGCGCGGCTTGCCGATCGTTATAGCGGCCTGCGTGCTTGGGTTTGCCCCCCCCCCCCCCGGGTCTCTCGAAAAGCCGCGCACCAAAGGTCATTCCCACGAATGGCGACCCTTCCGCATAGCAAATTACTCTCATCGTCGTCGTCGTCGTCGTCGTCGTCCTCGTCGTCGTCGTCTGTTGGGTCTGCCCCGCAGAGCTGCCCCCCTCCCGTCCCCACAGCACGGCGCCGCCGGAGCCGTCCAACGCGATACCGGTCCGAAAGTGGGGACTGGGTTCCACGTGCTCTCCTAAGGTACTTGCCAAGCACCCTCTCCCGCACGCCGCTCCGCTCTGCGGCCCGTTCCGATCCCCCCTCTCACGCCCCACCCCCACGCCCCGAGAGGGGCGGCCCGTTCCTACCCCCCGCGCTTCTGGGACAGCCCAGGGAGTGCCCGCCCGCGCTGGCGCGGGCCCCCGACCTGTCGCCAACTTTGGCCGAGCACTCGGCTTTCCCAGGGTCACCCGGCGTCGCGGGCAGCGCCCCGCGAGGCGCGCTCTCGACTCTGCGCCCTCGCGCCCGCCGCTCGGAGGTGGGCACCTCTGCGGTCCAGGCTGCGGGACGCGATGTGCGATCACCTTCCGCGCCCCCGTGGGTGGCCGAGGCCCCAGCGCCCCGCGGGGATCCAGCGCCCGTGGGTCGCGGGAGCCACCCCGCCTCGGCGCGCCCGCCCTCTGGCCTCGCGCCGCGCGCCCTGCGCGGCCATGTCCCCGCCACGAGGGGCGAGGCCGCCCGCTCGCGACAGGCTGCGCTCCGCCTCGTCGTCGTCGCCGCCGCCGTGGTCGTCCGCGTCGCCCCCCCTGGCCGAGGGCCGCTGCCGTCCTCGGCCGCCAGGAGCTCCTCCAGCCGAAGGAGGATCAGATTCATCGCGGAGGGCGGCGGCGGCGGGGCGGTTGGCCGCGCTCGGCGGAAAGCGCGGCCGCCGTGAAGGAGGGAGGGGGGGGGGCATGCGAGCTTGCAGGAAGGGGAGTGAAGGATGCGGAGGGGGGGAAGACGAGCTCGTCGTCACGCCGTCGCTCTTCCGAGGGGGGCGAGGGGCAATGGGGATCCCGACTTCCGATGACACGAAAGGGAGGTGGCGTCGTAACAGAAACGGAGAGCCAGCCGAGCTTCAGACCCCGCCTGCGGGCGGGAATGTTCGAGACGCGTCGCTTTGCGAGGGCCTCGGGGGGGCCCTAACGAGGCACAAACGGCCCCCGCCCACCATACGCACGCACGCACGCACGCACGCACGCACGCACGCACGCACACGCACGCACGCGCACGCACGCACGCGCGCGCGCGCACGGACGCACGCACGCACGCACGCACGCACGCACGCGCACGCGCGCGCGCACGCGCGCACGCGCGCACGCACGCACGCACGCACGCACGCACGCACGCACGCACGCACACACACAAACACACACACACACACACGCGCGCACACGCTCATGCACGCACACGCATACACACACCACACACAATAAGATCAGCAGCAGCAACAACAACACGCAGCGACGCCATCTTTCACTGAATGGTGAAGCGACTAGTCTCAGACAAAGCCAATGCGAGTATACGCCATTTACGGCTTGAGCGCATGCCTAAACTAGATCTGAACGAAGCGCTGCGGAGAAGGCTTTTCCTCCCACGGCAGAGTACGCATGACTCAAGACAATGACTCTCCCCAGACATTCCCCAAATATCTGAATGCTGGCATGGGTTTGTCCTGGCTTCCCGCGGCCCTGAGGCAACAACAATGCATTTTCGTCCCGGCTGTTCGCGGCCCGGAGGCTGCAACTATGCATTGGCACAGCTTATATACTAGACGAAAACTGCGTGCGCACACACAGCAGCCAACACAAGTGAAAAGAAGGTTCGCACATATGTTCACCGTCTAAATGTGATGGCGGTTCAAGGACCTGGAAAACCGCTCACTCAAATTTTGTAGTTCACGACATCCTCTCTCCACAGGCCTAGCGACCTCCTCGCAGGCGTTGGAAACGGCATCGGAAAAACGGGGCGGCCACGGGGGCAACTCCTGTTGGCTCGCTATGGGCGGGGTCGGGGCGTCGTCGCAAATAGCCCCAGCCTCCTGACAAGAAAGTCCCCAAGCTGCTGGACTAGCAGAGTAAACAGGATCGCGCCAACACCAAAGGAAATCGCAATCGTATTCGTGACGAACGATCCCAAGAGCGCAGTGCAGACGGCAGTCAGGATTGACGGTGTCGCATCGATCGTCCCATGGGCTATGCCCTGGGCGCTGTCGCGGGCAGCAATGCTCGTGCCCTAGATGGCGAACCAGATCTGGAGAGTGAAAAAGCAGATGACCCCAACGGCACGTGTAACCAGTGAAGGAAATCGACGGCACCAAGTTTCGCATCTACGAGCAGGTGTAGCACGGAGTAGATTGTTGTGACGCGCCCGTGGGAGGGCACGTTGCGGGCCTCTGCCCTGGGCCGGCGCCAAGGGCGGTTGCACTTCTAGGGGATCGGGCAGGCGGGGGGGCCTCTTGAACGGCCTCGCCATGCCGAGTTCAGTCGTCCAGCAAGTGCTTGCATATCATCTGCCCGACTTGTGGCAGGGTGAGCGCGCCCGCCTCTCCGTCGAAGCCGATGCTGGAGATCTTGGGTCGCAACTGGGATTGGCCCTTTAGCTTTGAAGTGTTTGCCCCATCGGTCGCAACAAAGCTGCGCGCCATTTGGGCACCAGCTATCGGCGAGGCTTTGCCTAAAACAGCTCGCGCAAAGACGACCAGGAAGAAAAAGGAAGAGGAGGAGGACAAAGGCTGGAACGACAGGCGCTGCTTGCACGCCCAAAATCGGCGCGACAGATGCTGCTTGCATACCCCCAACTGGGGGGGGGGGAGCGTTTTATCCCCGTTGCAGCGGCGCTAACACATTACCAGGGCATGGAACTTCCGCAACGAAAACTGCACGCAGTCTCCACGCATTAAAACGAGCAGTAGCCCTGGACTCGGGACAGAAGACGAACACTTGAACAGGCGGGTGTGCAGACAGAACGCGTGGAGGAGGGCCGAGAAAACCCAGACGGCGAATGTTACGAACCCCCTCGGAAACGCATCGGCCCCGCGGCGGCGCAGAGCTGTGTTATACGCCTAATGACAAGGTAACCCAAACGGCCGCGCTTATTTGTCCAACGCAGCATTATGCACTCTAGCTTTGAACCGATCGCCACCGTTGGACTACTCGAGGTGCATCAAGTTCTTGAGGTCCACGGCCTCGCGTCGCGTCTGCGTAATCCCGAAGACAGGAAGAGCATCGTCGTGGGCCGCCGCGTCAACGTCCGCATTCATCAGTGCCGGAACGGCGCCGCCCACTTCCGCTGCAGGCCCGCCGACCCCCATGGCCTTGAGCATGGCGTGGGCGCTGCTGCCCTGCGAGGCCATGGTCGACGTGGTGCCACCGATGCGCTGAGGCTCATTGCGCTGCCAAAGTCTGGCTCACCAGGCTCTTGCAGCGCCGAGTCGGAGATGCCGGTGGACGCACCAGCGCCCTTCGAGTTCTCGAAGAATTCGCTCAATTTCTGAACTGTCACGTCTAGCTGTGAATCCTTTTAGGCCGAAGCGAAGCTGTTCTTATCACCTGGGTGAAAGCCTCGGCGATCACCTGCGCCCGCGGAGCGGCCGCCCTCGATGGGGTGGCCGCAGGGGCAAGGGCAGGGGCCGCGCTGCCGCCGCCGCTCAGTGAGCGGACCTGGGCCATGAGACCCCGATCATCGACGTCTCGCTGAACGCCGCCATGCCATCGACCATCTGTTTGAAGGAATCGGCCATGCAGAGGACGCCGTCGGCGGGACCTGGCGAACGCCGGTGCTTCCCATTCTTGTCCCCGCCTTTGGAGCTCGAACTGCCGTTGCCGCCGCTGGCGCGAGGCTGCCAGCTCTGCCCCTGCTTTCCCATCCCCGCAGTCGGGTTCAGCGGAGGTCTCTGGTGAGATGGCCGAGAAGCTGCACTAGCACGCAGAAGACAAACTTGGTCTGAACAGCAATGCAAAGCATGGTGATTCGGCTGGCGATGGTGGTGAAAAA